ATTTCACCAAATTTCCACCTATGTACATATATATAGCTATATAAATATTAGTTGTAACTACTTACTAAATTATAAGATACACAATATTTCATATTGTAGTTTTGTATAGTTATTGTAATTTATGAAGCTGCCTGTTCAAGCACAAGCAAATATATAATTTTAATAATATAATTGGTTGTATATTATAGAACAGCTTAAAGTACTCTGAGCAAAAACATCTTTGCCTTTAGTTATTTATGAATTTATAATATATATTATTTTTATTAGGGGAGACTTGATATAAAATATTAAGAAGACGCCACACCCGCATGTGTTGTCTCCGTCTTAAAATAAGTGTGTAACATACCAAATTTTATGCTCAGGAGTTCCCGTTCAGCTCCGTTAGTTTAAATAATGTAGAGTGAATTTATCTCGTATAAAAATTAAAGGTAAAATTATTATCTAGGTTATCACATAGGGGTATTTTTATTATATTTTAATTTTAATGTGAGTTTTGATTGTTTTAAGATATACAATCAATTTACAATTTTAAAAATACTCAAAACTCGGTTTGTATAATATATCTATGGTTAGCATACTACGAGTGTATTTAAAAAATTGTATTTTCGTAATTTTTATTTTTCCTTCGGTTTAAACTAAAATATATAATTACCCAACTAAAAACTAGTTCAGATAAGTATCATAAGTAGCATCAAAAAGAAAAAAAATGTCAGTCAAAGTCGGTTCTGATCCGAAAGAAAAGAAGTTATCACTGTGAAAGGAAGTCTAAATTATAAATGTCAACTCAAACGCCAACTCGTTAAATATTTAATTTACTTACATAAATGTGTATGCATTAGAAGAAAAAAGACACAAATATAATTTATGAACTAGATTTATCAGTTGCTTCAGATCAAAACTAGTACATTTGTACTTCAACTTGGAAAATCGAAAAGTGTATACAGGAAACAAGTTATGGAGGTTATATCTGTTTTTTTTATACTATTTAATCGTTATTTTATTTAAATACAAAAATAGAGAAGTAGAGAGCGAAGCTAACAATTTTTAGTGTAGCCGGGGGCACGCGTGGAATGGTAAAAAAGGACACGGAATGCTACATAATTTAAAGGGAAAATAACAAAAAATATTTGAGGTAAATTTAAAATGTGTAGATTAAGTATAAAATATTGAAAATACATAAAAATCGTAAATAGGTTCCAAGTTACAACAAATATTCAAACAATATTAGATTAAAAACAAATTAGATCAAATTTTAAATCAAATATATTTTAGAGCAAGGGATGCTGTAACATCCCAGCATCCCAACCAGTTCTCGCCTGGCCTAAGAATTTTTTGATCAGTTTGTAGATTCCCAGCCCCAGAATATTCCTAACTACTTCTTAAGTGGATAGATTTTGGTATAAACATCGACAGTCACTCGGTTTAAATAAACAAAGTATGCCTGTTGAATTGTTGCAATATGTATACTGATGAAATTTATTTTTCTAACATTTATAGTTCACTGTCGAACAGTGCTGTAGGTATAATGTACTATGCAAATCAGTCAAAATTTGAGTTTATTTTTCAAGGAGAGCACTGTATTTTTTTCATGGTTGTCCCGCGAGGATTTACCCATTGCGATTATAAATATATCATAAATTTATTTATTTTTAATTTTTTTCATTAGACTCACATAGACAATAAGGAAGGACCACGTGTATTTTATTTTTTATTTAATTCAATTTTTTGGTAAAAAGTTAAAAAAAACAATTTTTAATATTAAATTTTTGAAAAAAATAAAGAAACCTATTTTATAGAATTTATTTTTCTGAAAATKTTGATCTTTTAACATTTTATTTTCATTAATCCCAAGTTTTTTAATAATTTTTTTAGTTTGTAAATAAAACGCAAAAAACTGGTTTTTATCCAGACGSTGCGCGGCGAGTCCCTCTACGGCTAATGAGTATATCCTCACGGGAAATCCTGTATATAGGTATATGAGTATATTATATACTGTATATCTATATAATATTTTATGTATAATATATAACTGATTGAAAATATATAACTCATAAATGTTCATAGTCGGTTTGGAGTACCCTTACTCATAATAAGCTATATAGGCTATATAGCATAGCTATACCGAATCCGTAATGCGTTGCATACCGTAATATTATATAATCACGAGTAACATATTATGCTCATACTATTTGAAATAGGTACTCAAGCACATATCTTTGCTAATATAATATATAGGTTTTTAGACCATTATATAAATCCGGGCCCTACCTACTAGTATGTTATATAGGATAACGATTTTTTTAACATCCTATATTTATTTCAAATAAAAATAAAAATATTATTTATCGGCCATACCTATACATTGTTGTTGTGTGGAATTTATCTTTTCATCTCTAGTAAAAAGAATTTATTATTACAATACATTGTACCTACATTTGTACCATCGACTGCTTTCTAGCTAGGAGTTTAACATAAAAATAACTTGACGTAAATGAAGTATCGATTGCTACTAAGCAGCTCAGAAAATGATTTAGGTTAATACTTAATGTAATCAAATTGTAACATATAAGATCGAAAGTCTTATTTTATAGCACAAATGGTAGTGATCACTGATCAGACAATAAGTTTTCAAAAACGAAAATTGTACCTATATTAAAACGCATCGGATAAATAAATCGTGTTCTGGATTATATTATTTTTTGATTTCACGGTGGCAATGAAACTCGTGAGAATTGTACTATTATAATAGTAGGTAGATACTTTGTGATAGCGCAGCAGATAGCGAATATTAATAAAATTTAAGCATAACATAATGTATTTTATATATAATAATTGATATTATTATAATCGATTAAAAATGCATAATATCTTCTATACAAATTAAATTTATCTCTTATTTAAAACAAACATCTTATTAAATGTAAATATTTTATTTGTTGTGTATATGAAGTGATGCGGCAATGTAGCTCTTCATATCGGATGTCTGGTTTGGATCGGCGAACAAATGTAGACGTTCAAATTTTGAGTGCAGCTAGTAAAGCGATTGCGGAAAAATGCTTTTGGAACGCATGCAAAGCATTATCTTTTGGATTGTTTTTGATGGCTGTCGGAGCCATAATGGCCATTATTGGTAAGTACATATTTTAMATTTTACAACTCAAATATTTATTAAACATTACAGTTTTTATTGTAATAAAAAAATTATATTAAATATTAATATTAATATTTAATATTGTGAATTATTGTATATTTATAGTATTTTAAATTCAATAGGTAAGATATACTACGATATTATGATGAATATTAAATTAAATTCTCTTTCAAATAATTAAAATAACTATAATGTTATGTAAAATAAATATTTTGTGAAAATTTCAAGTGTCTACGGTTATTCGTTTTCGAATCACAATAAAATATCAAAAATCTATGTAGATGGAAATTCGTCAAGTCTTAAATATCCAATATTGTAAGATTTTTAAATTCAAACGCGCATAAAAAATTAATGTTGGTTTTCTCGTTAACTTTTTTTTTTGTTTAAGGTAGAAACATTTATAGTGAATCTTCCTTTAAAATTTCTCATGTTCGCTGTTAAAAGAAAAAAATYGTTTACGAATTTCCAATTGAAAAATAATTTGGAAACATTCATGATTTAAAAATAAATCATATATACGGATCTTTAAAGTTTATCAATATTGCTATTATAAACAGGTACTTGTGAGAAACCTTATACTCAATTTTCGAGCGTTTAGATCCAACGAATTAATTTTTTTTTACCATTTATCAAATGAAAAACTAAAAACAATTTAAATTTTAAATGTCTCTTAGCAACTTAAAACGAGTCAAAGTATTTTTAAAATGTTATCATGTTAACAAAATTATAAAATAAACATTTCATTAACATTTAAAGTWCCTACAGTTATAATTTTTAATAATTATAAAATACGAAAGTTGTTGTGTAAGAATTTGTTATTTCATGAGTGAAAATCCAATATGGGTAACTAACGCTCGTAGACTTTTTTTGTTTGTTGAATGTAGTAAAACTTAAGGGGAATCTAGTAATTCATTTTCAAATCTTAGATATGAATTTATCTTTATGTCAATTGTAGCGTTGATAGGTATTTAAAAAAAAAATCACTGTCGAGCAACTAGCAACGGGTAATACAACTTATTAATTAGGAATAATATAAATATAATTTAAATAAAATAAATATTTACCAATTTATTTACATAATAATATGGGATAGATTGACATTGAATAGAAATATTGGGTGTGCATACAAAAAGCAGGGGAAAATGTTTTTCTTAGACACTAATACCACTCACATTGAAATATCTAAGTATTAAGAATATCATCAAACTGCAGGGATTGATCCGTATAATCTTTAGGTTAAATCTCTTCTYATTTTMCATCCTATTTACTATATCAAAGTATCAGTTATTTTTTATTATTCAATGTTGATATTTATAAAGATGTATAAATATAATATAATATGATTAATAGTTAATACTTATAGTATATTTATCATTTATTTATACATTTCTTTCATAAAATATAAGAATATTAACCAGTAAAATATTTAATGTCCTGTAAAATCAAATTTATTTATTTATTACGGCAACATTGACCTGAAGTTTATTTTTATTTTTTATTAATGTTTAATAATATATTTTTATAAGTACTCTCAGGGTAAAATAAACAGTTTGAGGTACTGTGGAAAAAAAGTAATAAATATTTATATAATATTTTCACCCTAATAATGATAATTAATTATATTTTATATTTTTGCCTATAGAAATAAGTGGCATATTTTTTTTTTTGTAAAATCATATATGTTAAAAAACAAGTTTCCATTAGCTTTTATTATTTATATTATGTATCAATGTAATTATATACATTTACCATCGACGTACTATTTATAAATTAAATATAATAATAAATAATAAAGTATTTATTTAATATTTATTGGAATACTAGCTGAACTCGTGCATTTTGTAGCCCGTTAAAAATCCTACCTTTTAAATGTCTCAAACTGTGTTAAATTCGTTACCTGTGATCATGTTTGAAATATTTTTAATACATATAGATAAATAATGGTTAAAATATAGCAAGTAATAATCTTACAATGGCAATCAATTTAGTKTATTKTTATGTAATTTTATTCATTTTATCGCGAAAAGTCTGATAATTTAAGTATTCAATTGAATGATATTTATTGAAATGCATTTGGATACACAATATTTTTTGTTCTTCCTTCTGGTGCATACACAAATAAACCAGAAGGTTTTCCGACGGGTGAKCATGCTACATACAGCTGTCCATGTGAGAAGCATGGATTTTCCAAATTTAGTCCATACACTTGTAGCGATAAACCTACTGCAAAATGTCTGTTTGAGCATCTCCCAGGGTCGGGCTTATCACTTTTTAACTTAACCTCTCTTCTGCTCATAGGTCTAATATATCTCTTAACTAAATTTCGTCGCAATCGTACCAGCCGTTCAGGAATGCATAAAGGACAAACAGACAGACAGATGATAGACGTAGGTTAAAAAAATCCCTGTATGAGCCACCCTTTAAAATTAAAATAGGGGTGTGAAAAATAGTTTACATCACTCTCTGAGACCTACTCAATATACACAACAAATTTCATGAAAATCGGTCCAGCCGTTTCGGAGGAGTTTGGTAACAAACATTGTGACACGAGATTTTTATATATTAGATATAAATAGATAACAATCTGTAATAACTAATAACTAATAACAATTAACAGTTATATTTTTTTTTGCAGTTAATTTATTTTACTTAACAATTAACCGTAATAAAAAAAAAATACTTCTTACTAAGCAAAGCGTACTCRTACTTATCTACAATTGGTCTGTTGTCGGAATTATTATTGTATAAGTATAATGATACACGTAAGACGTAGGTACCAGTTACCTACCCCATACTAACATGAACTTATAGCCTAATCGATTGACATATTTATAATTTTTATTTATAATATTATGTTCATAAAATTAACATTCCTTCTATTCGAACACGAGTATAAATTATTTTGAGTTATGCACTACATTATGTAATTGATGTCTGATGAATTATTCTMTCAAAATCATAACCAGAACTATAGCTAACTATAAATTATGCCTGTATAGAATAAAAGCAAAAACTTAGTAAAATTTTCAAAGTTCATTTTTAATTGTATTATAATTTATCARTACATTTTGATGAAAAACCAATATATTTTTCTTTCAGGTTAATTTACGTATAATACATATGTATATATCGTATAATAATTTAAAAATTCAACGATAACAAYATTTGTAATTYGTATAGAATTTTTTGGTTGTTATTATTTGGAGGTATTTTTACTTTTAAGTCTTCAGCAATTTGAATTAAAAAAAAAATTTAAAAAAAMAAATTTGAATGATATTTGATAAATAAATAATTTTAAATCTATTTTAGTTTTCTGAAAAATGTATAATTGAATTTTCTATAATTAAATTATGATTAAAAGTTAGGTGTTCCGGTGAAATTACAATAAATATAAAAATTAGGTTTATAGGTTCAAGTTTATGTACCTACGTGTCCTACGTGGTATGAGTAAAATTTATTATTTTTAATTGCATATAAATTTAATTACATGAATTGTTTAAAAGTTATACATTATTATAAATCTATTATATTCAACATAAGTTTACTTTAATCTGATTACTCGAGATAGTTTCCTTCAGGCTAAAAATCGTTATAAAACTATAGAGAGTAACGTAAAATTAAAAAAACCATTTTCATGCATACATTTTAGTGTTTCTGAATTCTGATCCAACAGAACAAAACGAAATCAAGTAGGTAACAGAAGTTTAAACTYGCTTAGTCAACTTTTATTCAAAGTTCAATTAAAATTGTAAAATATAATAAACCTTTATAAAAGGTTCAAATCAAAGGTTTTACTTTAGAAAAATTAATACAATTTGAAAACTAGGACACTCCACTGAATGATTTATAAATTTCATTATTAAATAACTTTAATATCATTCTGAATGTAGGTAAACATAGAAGCCACGTTTGTTTACTAAGCTACCTTTCTATTTATATTAAAATTATTAAAACGATTTTGGCCTTATTTCATAYAATATTAAAAGTTCACTTATGAGTTATGATCCTTTATCCTTATAGTCCATAGACTATAGCACCCTAGTACCCTAGTACCCTACTATATATTATATGGCAGTTTAGTTATACAATTACATTTTGAGACGTTGAATACAATTCTTTATTATAAATTCTTAAAATGTATAGTAAGGGTTATTTCGGTTCTATTTTTAAGTTACGAAGACAGTAGGTACTTACATTATTAATACTACCATGATTTTGCAAGCGTTGTGCTTATGTTACTTATCATTTATCATTTTTGAATTAATTTGGCGTATATTAAAACTACGTCTTTTAAGTTGGTATTTGTATTACTTTTTTCTTCCCTTTGATATTTGGATTAATACTGTGTRACTAGTGAGAAGTATCTAGTATCCAAGTCTCGTTCATTCTAACACAAATATAGATACACTAAATTAAAAAAAAAAATATATATTTTTTATTGTATAGGTATGTTATTATATTTTGAGTACTATGTTTAAAAAAAAAGTATGAGTTGACCGTCGAGACGTTTTTGGAGTCTCACTGACTTGATGCCATGAGATATTTAAACGTTCGGTAAAAAAAAAAAAAATTAAAATGGTTACAATGTAGAATCTGATTTCACCTTTAAAACCATAAAAAGTGAGACTCTATTGCCAAATAATTAAAAAATAAAACTATTCATTACATTATGTTAACATATCTAAAAATCTAAAAAACAAGACTATAATATTATGATRAACTGAAAATACCAATTGAAAATTTCGAAAATTATCATATATATCTATTTTTACTATTTACRAGAATAATATATTTTAAATCATATTGTTATCAGTACAAAGATTCACCAAATGTTTAATTTCCCAATTTTTAAATTTACAAACTTGAAAATATAATGTATGAAGTTTTGAGTAATTTTTCTAACAAGTTTATTGGGATTTTTATTGGTATATTACGGTTTAAAAAATATTTTACTAACATTGTTGACAATATTGTTTGTACACTTTTTGTATAGGATATTATGCAGAACAGCTTTCGTCAGATGACATTGTCACAAAAACTGAYAATGGTAATTCGAGTACATCCATACGTACAGCAAAAACAACAAAAAAATCATCTCATATATATAAGTTGTCATACGCCGGACCAATTGTGATGGGAGTTGGAGGTAAATATTGAGTTAATATTATTTGCATATAGTATAATACAAAATATAATAAATTAACCAAAAAACTAATATCGACTAAAAATTATTTCATTCAATATTGTTAATGCAAATCTTAAATGAACTATATAATTATCGTATCTTTGAAACTGAGTACGATGTAAAATCATAATTTTACACTCATGAAATAATTGTCAAAATATAAATTTAAGGACTAATCGTGTAACGGCCTATGTAATTTATACTATGCAGTATGCTTGATGGGTTTATGTAGATTGCCATCTTTTGCCCTTTTTGTATAACTATTGAATGTTTTACCGGTCCAGCACAATATGCATTTTTGCCTTTTGGAATATTTTTAACATAAAAAAAAAAAAAATGAAAATGAAAATTTTATAATCAACCTTGATTATACATCAAAGATATGTAATTACTTCCGTGAAAAATGGTTGGGAACCACTGTGACGGGAAAATCTTGTTTCAGGGTTCATCGTGGTGGCGGCGTGCGTGATGACATTCGAGGCGCGCGACCGGGCGGCCAAATTCATGTCCAACCAATTGAAAATAATGGGCAGCGGCGTCGGTGGTGGCCAGGTGTCGGGTCATCGAGGCCACGGTCGGCAGACACCGTCTGCCGGTTATCTGTCCAGGGGCGACAGTGGCCGGAGTAGCTACCAGAATCCGTGCGACGGCGGACGGCATAAGATGAACAAGAGCCCGTCGGCGCCGAATCTGGCGGCCGCCGCGTTGGCGTCGACGAACCGCGGATCAGTGGGMGCCACACAGTCGGGCGTCGGCAGGCTGCCTTTGAGGCACAAGCATGCGGTGCACGTGCTGTCGTCGGGTGGCCGAGCGCTGCTCAGTCCGCACACTTTGCGCCGTCAGGCCATGTCGATGGACACGCAAGACTACAACCCGCTGTTCTCACCGCCCCGATCCCGGCACAGCAGTTCTGGCCTGTTGACGTACAGCAACAGCAACAACTTTGGAAATTTCACCTGCAGCAACGGCAACAAGCAAGGCTGCGATGGTAGCAGGGAGTCCGTCAACGACCCGATGAGAACGTCGTCCAGGGGATCGCGGGGCTCGATGGTACTGGATCTGCACGTGCCCAACGAGTGCCCGGTGACGATGCGGGTGCGGGACAGAAGCCGCCGATCGGACACGGCCCGGCGGCACGTTCTGCGCAGACAGACACCGGTCGAGCTGGACGACACAATAATCGCGTACGCCGCGGCCTCGGCCATGGCGGCGGAACATCACCGTCAGCGGGCCAAGCGGTGCACGCGGTCGGCCACTTGCGACGTTCCGCACCCGGTCAAGTCGAAGCGCAGGCGACAGGACTCCAGTTGCTCGGACGTGGTGGCGGCCCGCCGGAGGTCTGGTTCGCCGGTGATGTGCGTTGGTGCCGGGGGCCGTGGCAGCGTGGGTGGATGGCGTTCGTCGGCCAACGACGTCGTCGACGCCGCCGAATGGGCCAGGACTGCGAACCGTGGCACGGCGGGTGGCGGCTCGACACTGCCGTCGCCACAACGGTTCGTCGACGAACGTTCGCCCGGGACGACACCCGTACGACAACAGTCCCAGCCGACCACAACCGTAGTGGATGGCACCAAAATGTCGCTGTCCAGGACGTGTTCCGACATCATGTCCATTGATAAATCGTTCGAAGAGTCCAATTATAGTAGTTCGTAGATTTAGGTGCTTCATTATGCGCATCAAGCAGGATTCTCAGCTACGTCGTGTGTCGTGTCGTGTCGAACAAATCGCGTTGTGATTGGACGTTACTTTTTGGTAACGCATGTAATGATCAAGTTGCAACCGACTATACCAAGAGTTGACTTCAGCTCAGCTTTCAAACCAATATGGTTATACTCACACGACACGACACGTGACATAACTGTGCATCCGACTTAACCATAATCGATTCGTTAGTGATTTCGATCAGAACAATCATGGTTATCTACCAGTAGGTAATCGTGGTCAGGGTGACAGCACAAACTTATAATATCATCAAACAAAATATATATTAGACGTCACTAACTGCTATTTAATAATGTTATACTTCGTACTGCATGTCATAATATTATGCAACTTAAATTGCCGGCTTACATGCATATAGGTACCTCTAACTGACATSCTATATAAATGATTACCATTGTAATATTATATATATATACTTTTTTTTACATCCATAAAGTTATCGTTGCGTCGTTCAAAACGATAAATAATATATAATATTATGTTCAGTTGCCTAACGATAAGTGATCTATTTAACGAAAGATAAACATCATTTCAAAAACAATTAACGTTTTTGATAAAAAATATTTTAAATCATTTCAAGTCGTTAAAAACAACGTTTTTCAAAAATTAATATTTTATGAGTAGTCCACTTATCCATGCATTTAAACTTTAAATATATTGTAACAGCTATAAGTTATAGACGATTAAATTKTATTGTTATAGGACGAAATATTCTGAACAATATTTTGCTAAGGGATATGAAGTTAAAAAGTAATTTATCATTCAGACGAGAAAAACTTTCAAAATTATAAAGATAAAAACTAGTAAAATATATCATTTGTTCCCTTTGAACATTGTGATGTTCTGTTGTTTTCTAACGACTTAAATTTTTTCAAAAGAAATATTTTCTAAAACGTAAATGTTTTCTGAAATAACGAGCTTGTCTTGGATCACTTTCAGAATTATACACAGGTAGGCACCTATAATTCCAAAAGTCGGTCAATAATAACATCACATTMTCGACCAAGATTTGAACTTGGGTAGGTAGTCGACTTGGGAATTTTATTAGTTCATGACAGTATTAATATATAATATCCCAGGTTATCACTGTTATAAGTCTAATGGATTTAGGAAAGATTAGGAGTATATTATATTAGTAAATAGTAATGTACTAATGTATTTGGACAAATCGAACGTGGAAATGTATTAAAGTTGATAAGCTGCGTATTACAAATTATAATACCTAATAATTAATGTTTACTTTTCGTTCAACTGCGAACATCGTATTACTGCAGTGTGTTTTATTCGTTTATAGGATCGTAGAATGCGTAAAAATAATAGCATTATATATTAATATATTTTATTGGATGGCGAGTGCACATTTTGACATCGCAGTAACGATAACATACGCAGACGACATACTGTAGATCGTGCATTAGCCCCACAGAGTAACCCAAGATTAAAAAAAAAAATGTTTAGAGAAGTGTTCATATTATTAAAGAACTGCGATTTATTAGTTGAAAATCAGTAGTAGTTTAGCTTCATTAGCGTGAAATAAAGCGAAGACGGGTATGTTGTTTTATTTAATAAAATTAGGACTAAGTATAGGTACAAATGATTTTTTTAAAGATACCAATAATTTTTAAACTTTTTGTAATAAATTGAAAGTTGAGTTTTATTTCAAATTATGTTTAAACACGTTGATAATTAATGCGTTATTTGAAAATTGATATGAGAGTATATAATTTATTTGAAATTCTATAGGTAAGTATAATCTCATAGTAGCATACATGAACTACTGCAGCTTAAAATATTATTACACAATATTTTGCTTAGTTTTATTATTATTATTTAGGTACTTATGATAAGCACGTTTTCAGAAAAATTATTCTTGATCATTATGTGAGCTCAACACATAATTGATCAAAATATCTATCGTACCAACCAACATACTTGACATATCCCCATTATAATATCTAMAAACGTCAAACAGGTATATTCTAGATAGGAACGTTCATAATATTTTGTATATCCAACTTAAAAATTGAATATAGCCGGATTTAATCTGAATTCAATGTCTCAATAATATGAAAAATATAAAGAAATTCTCACTCAGTCGTAGTAAAATATTATTATTAATAYCAATCATTGACGTACCTAAATGATAACTAGTAGGTAAAATAATGTATATTTTTTCTTAATGTAGATATTGTTTCCTTCATATTTTCAACGATCAGCGATCGAAACTAAAATTATCACTTAAATAAAATACACTGAATTAATATTTAATTTTAAGTGTTCAACAGATAACTGCCACTTTTCAAATTTCTGTAGGTTTTTGGTTTTCTTGCTTGATTAAAAAAAAAAGACAATTAGACTAATTTATTCGGTAATACATGTGATCGAAGCGTTAGTTTTGAATTTAATCTCTCACAACCAACACAGACGTCTAATAAGTATATAAAAATATGATGTACTTAATATAAAATTATTTTAAGAGTTTTTTAAGAATAAAGAAGATATTAGGAGATACAATTTACTGTTAAATTGATAACACAAAATAGAAAAGTTAAAATTTAACTGTTGTTGTTGATAAGTCGATTTGTTTATCATTTGAAGAATTCAATAGGTTCCTAGCAAATACCAAAGTGCGATATTAAGTTTTGGACCATTTTATTTGGAAGAGGTACAATACATTAATACATAATATATAATAGGTACATACATATTATATGCCGACGTATAGATTGGAAATTCATCATTGTGCTGTTGAATTAATATTACATCAGTATGTTATTGATCACGTGTAAACTTGTTATGCATAATGGATTGTAACTAATAGACTCGGCGATGGTGATGATAAATACATTTTCTGGGCATCAATCAAATGTAAATGATTAAATTGGCTACGTCATTAACCGTAAGGCYGAAAAATTCCAATTTCATGCCACCCGCATAAGGAAACGTGATACTGTTTCAATGTTTCAAACAACATTAATTTTGTTCAAATAATCAGGTTGGTGTCATTTCTATTCAAATAATACTCTACATCAAATAYCTCGAATCTTTTGAAATATGTTGATAAASAGCATGCGAAAAACTGTATCGTGATTGCCTGCAGTGGATATAATCTCGKTTTTTAATAACATTATTGTGTATTCGTGTTTGTATTTCGTAYACRAACAAGATAATATTGTTATCGCTAATTTTTTTTCAGATCTCGAATGAATATAAGACATTATTACATTAAGTAAGGCACTTTTGTATGATATTATGATAAACCTATTTCATTTAAATGAGACATCATCTAATAATTGTAGTATAATATTTTTTTTTTTTATTAATTGTTTATGGCATCAACTACATGGTTATTAGCCGGCGTTACATATTAAATTTACATTAATTGATTACATATTTGCTTAATTTCTAYTTATTACTTATAATTAAAGATTTACATTTTAATCTAAGTTAGAATATTCAAATCAGTTAACGCAGTTCTGTTGAGTTGACGAAATTGAGGAGTTTTTTGGTCGTCTCGGGAGTGGGTGATAGCATCTCGTATAGTGTATCGGGTAGTTTTATTTCAAAGCGCGTAGTGTAATATTATGTACCTACAAATATAAATTGATTACACGTAGGTATTATAATCCTTTAACTTTTTAAAAAAGCGAAATATCAATAACGTGCGATAAGTTATAAAGATCAATAAGAGAGTCTCATACTTTAATACATATGATTTAGTATGATTTAATATTTATAAATCATTTAAAAACATTATTCAGTTTTACTTCAAGATATATTATTATCTCATACTAAGTTGTGATTTTAACTGTATGAAAAATGATATATTTACGGTATTMATTTTATTAATTGAACTTTGAATTTATTGTTTAACAGATTAAATATTTGAATTTAAAAATTCAAACATAATAATATAACATTATATTATATTATATTAAACAAAATTARGTACGTTATCTAGAAATTTAAATKATATTTTCGTCGAATTGATCCACTTTATCTTCCAAAAATATTTAAATACCCTAATATCTAATATTTCTAAAATAAATTAAAAATTCTTAATACAAATTGTGTTCGTATTTTATGTTGTAAAAAATAATTTAGAATGATATGATATATTTCTAATATTGTCATTAATCATACATATCATACCTAACTTTATGATTTAATGATTTAATGACTTAATGAAATTATAAAATGTTTATAAATTTATCCATTTATTGGCAATTAATAATCATATTCCTTAAATAACCGAATTATAATACGCGGTCTCACTTARACATTAAATATAGTTAAAATATTTTATCATTATTAATCATATCAATGATGGATATAACTTTTATAATTAATAGCAWTCATGATATCCTAGGATAATCCTATGAAATTTTCCAAAATTCGTATTTTCATTGTAAGAGAGGTTTTGACGTTTTATGTATATGGTAATAAATTGGTTTGCAACAATTCTTACAAAGTATATAAACAATCATTTTGAAATTTGATCGATACCATATTTTAATTATGATGTATTGTATTTATTAACACACAGAACGGATAATAAATTAAGAGGCATTAGTGACTACATTAATTATAATATTATTACCACTCAAAACCACACGAAAGTCCAATTAAACAGATTTGAAGTCAACTGTGAATTTATAGTAGTCACACAGTCCTATTTATCATTTAGTGATAATTAATAAATAGCAAATCCTACAGTGAATTGTTTTTTCTCATAACGCATTTATATAACTCTTATTATTATGCGTAGATAAAACTCATTAAAAGTACCTAAAACTATTTCATTTTTAACATTAAAAGTTCAATAAATATTTTGTTTAACTTCTTCACTTTTAGTGGTTTTAATTACGGTTTACATCGTTATATACAATTGTTATCTTTTAGTTTAATAAAATAATAATTAAGGATTCCACTTACATAATATTAACTTCATAATTTTTTCTAGCTACTCATTACAATTTAATACTTTTTTTTATGTACCTGCCTATAATGGTCATACAATCATAACTATATAGATGTTATTTTAAATCTTAACTACTAAATTTTTTGTCTTCATATATTATGTCTTTTGATMTTTTGTGACTTACTCTTGATAGATATTTTTAAAATGAGTATTTTTCAAACATACCTAGGGTACGTAATATTTATTTCACCTTTACTATAAACAATTTTGTTTCAAGTCTTTACTTTTACTATAATAGGTATTATTCTTTAAWGCATATAAATATGAATGAACTTTTTATAATTTAGTGAATTATATACCTACTATTATTAGTTATTGGGTACTTATAAGTTATAATATAGGTAAGTACTGTACTAGGTATTAGAAGTTTTTAACACCGATTTAAACATATGAAATATTATATTGTATTAAAAATTGTTGTTGTAAAGTAAGTAAGTACTGAAGTAAGATTTGATTAAGTAAACAAGAATATGTTGGTTTAGATTAAAAGTAAAAAGAGATAAAAAAATGATAG